CATCAAAAGCCGTAACCCAGGCAGGCACCAAGAGCCCGCACAGGGCACACCCAGAGGTCAGGGCCAGAGTATAGGGACTGATGATCACACCAGGGATGCTTTTCCTGTAAAGTCCTCCTCGGTTTCTAATCTAGAGTGAGTATCCCTCATGGAAATGCTTGGGACCAGCACCGCTTTGGATTTCCGACTTGGGACCATGCATTTGCATAAATGCATGCCAGGAATAAGACCCAAATTTAAACATAACATTCAGGGGTGTTTTATGTCCTCCTGTATCTGTACTCTGCTGGTGACTCCATATCATGCTTTAAAAGTATCCACACCTTCACTGCAGCCTCCCGCTGCCTGGCCTGTCAGCCCTCAGCATGTCCTGGACAGGGCGGTGTTTTAGATTCTGGATTTTTGGATTAGGAATGCTCATGCATGAGAAGAAAGCTCATCTCGAACCTCAGGAACCAAGGCGGCCACAGGTACAGTGTTAGCACACACAGGGTTTCAGTCTGAGCTGTGAGCCCTGTCCCAAACACAACTTTCGCATCAGAACTAAATCTCTGCTAGCATCTGGGGCCTCTGTCCCCCAGAGGCCGTGTGTTAAACACAGGCTTGGTCCCGGTGGCCTTCTTAGGGGAAGGGGAGCTCCAAGCTGCAGGGCCAGGGGCCAGTCTCCCCGCCCAGGCAGGCGATGGGGGGCGGAGGGCACGCCAGGGCCTGGTGTCTGCCTCTCTCCCCTCTCTGCAGCCTGGCTGCTGCTCCTCCCGCCATGCGCTCTCACCATGGAGCCATCACAGGCCCAAGAGCAACACAGTGCTCTGCCACGGCCTGACACCTCTGTCAGCCAGCGCTGCTGTTCTCTCTTACTAGGCTGGTTCTTCCTCTGGGAAACCATCCCAGTAACACACTGGTGGGAGCCATCTACGGGGCCCAGCCAGAGCAGCACAGTTCCTGTTTAAACCACGGGCTAAAATCGCCATGCTCTGGGTTCATGGAAATGCTGGGATATGGCTTTTGGTTTTGTTTGGTTTTGTTTTGTTTTGTCTTTTTCATTTTTATCGGTACCCGGGATCGAACTCACGACTGCCTGCTTGCAAGAGCTAAACCTCCAGCCCCCTGGGATATGGCTTTTCTCATCCTCTTCTTTCACTCCCTGCCATGCATTACCAGTGCCTCGAACCAGCTCCACTGCCGGACCAGGGGTGCTGGAGAAACACGAACCACACCGCCAGGCAGAAACCCCCTGAGACCTTGAACAATGAACAGTAGGGAGAAAGCGCTGTCCAGTGCGGTCAGCACGCTTCCTGGAGGTTGCTGGCCTCCCTCCAAGGGTCAGGGCTGTGTGGGGTGCGATTCTGAGGAGAGGCGCGGGCTGGTACCCGGGCTCTGAATGGGGCTTTCGCTCACAGCAAGAGCAATTTCTGGAAACCTCTTCTGTGTGTGGTGGTTCAGTCAAGCGACCCCTGTGTGAGTGTGAGTGCAAGTGTGAGAGAGTGTGTGTGAGTGTGCGTGTGTGTGCTTGTGTGGCTGAGGGTTGAACCCAGGGCCTGCACTGAGCCACGTCCCCAGCCTTCTTTATTCTTTATTTACGGTCCAGGGCCTCACTAAGCGGCTAAGTTACCCCAGGGAGGCTTCAGCTCACAGTGTCCCTGCCTTGGCCTCCCCGAGGGCTGGGAAGCAGGTGTGAGCCATTGCACTGGACTATTCCAGTGACTTCTGAGATGCAGACATCCTGAGTAAGGACCTGGTTCTGTGTCCCAGGGTCAGGGCTCCACAGAATGATGACTTTCAGGAACGCTTTTATCTTCAAAGCTTAGAACCTGGACTAAATTAGCTGAAAAAGCAAGACTATCGCCTGCCTTGACTGAGAACTCCGTGAAGAGCCAGGCCCTCCACAACATGGAGACTCCCTTCCCTGTCCCCCGGCTTCATACCTCTCTGCAGTGCGGCCCCACAAGCTCAGAGAAAAAGGTCCTCCTGTTCTCAAAAGGCCCAGGTCCGCACAGACTCCGCCTCTCCTGGGGATGTTGGGTTGTGTGCTTCCTGCCGGAGCCCTGCAGTGAGATCAGCCTGCTCCACGCCACGCAGCCTAGCGGGGGACAGGCTACCAAGGGAACCCAGGCCAGGGCAGACACCATCCAGGAGAGATAGCCCTTGTGCAGCAAGGACAAAGGGCCTGGGGATGCTGAGCCTCAAGCTGACTGGCCTCGGCTCCTCCCGGGCTCCCAGTGTAGGCACTGGGCCGCTGCCCTGACGCTGCAGCCACCTCCGCAGCTGCTCCATGCTGTGGGCAGCCCTTGCCCCGCGGATACTCTGAGGCCTCCTAGAGACGCCTGTGTGGAGTCCTGCGGGCCACACAGTTGGATAAATCACTCCTGTGTCCACTTGCTCCACAGTGGGTGTTTATAAGCCCCGCAGTCTGCCGGGCTCCACTGATACACAAGCTACCCGTCCACCCTGCAGACTCCTGAAGGTAAGCGTTGCCTCCATGTCAAAGATGAAGAAACGAAGGCAACAGAAGTCACTTCCCCGCTGAGCTTGCCCAGCCAGACAGTCACCGCTACGACGGTGACTCTGATCCCAAGAGCAGGACAAAGATAACTCATCCAGTGCTCACAGGAAAACCTTCGTCCAACAGGGAAGCCAGGCAGATGCAGCCGTGGGCAGCCCAGCCGAGGGCAGCAGCCATGCAGAACAGTCCTGAGCGCTTCGCACCAGTTCAGCAGCCTGGAGACGCAGCAGCCTCTGGTCTCGTCTCCCAAGACCTCACGATACCCAAATGCAAAGAAAGCTGAAGCAGGAAATACAGGCAGCCGCAGGAAGTGAGCTCCCCAGCCACTGGGGAGGGGAGAAGGCAGAGGACGGAGCAACCGGTGACTTCCTGGGGGAGGTGGCACTGGAGCCACCTGGAGGACAGAGGGCATGGGGTAGATTCTCGGCTGGGGAATGAGCTGGAAAGGCCCTAGAGGCCTGGGCACACATGGTCTGCTGTCCCAGCATCCCCCACTCTTCTACTGTGTCCCCCCAGCTCCTGGTGGGAACCACCGTTGCCAAGCTCAGCCAAGCAGTCTGGGAGGGGATACCCCGTCTCCTGACCCAAGAGAGGCCGAGCAAGGTGCCCATCCACCAGGACAGGAGCCACTGGCATTTACTGGGACCACGCTGGGACGTGGAGCACCAGGAAACCAAGCAACCCCTCCCCCCGCCTGTTTGTTTTGTTCAACTTGAATATACATGAAAGCATGGACAGCTATATAGAAGAGAACGAGAAACTACGACAGCCATCAGTGACTTGTCTGGTTTTGAAGACCTAAATCGCCCTCCTAATTCTGTTCAGATCAGTTTTATACTATGTTCTTTTGTATGAATTCTCTGTACATGAAGACATGGACAACTATTTGGAAGAAAACAAGAGACAATATGATAGTGAAGATCTCAGGTCACCTAGCTTTGAAATTTATCTCTTACATTGCTTGCTTATGTCCTATTTTGTTCTGTTTTGTGTTTAATTTTACGCCTTTTAAAATAAAAAAAAATAAAATAAAAATACTACCTGTTTCTAAACGCTGTGTTTCTCACATTTTGTGCAACTGTTGCGTCAGGTAGCAACTCTTAGAATTAACCGGGTATCGAAAATTAACCAGGTATTGTTTGCTTTTCAGTCAGGCTGGGTCTTTGCAAAGAAGCCACACTCCTGAACGTGTTCCGTACCAGTTGATCTGCAGCCCCGCTCCAGGACGCCTGGCTCTTCTTAAATCCCAGAATGGTGAGGTAAGCCCTAAAGAAAAGGGCACTGAATTTAAAACCTACAGCTGCACGGTGGTTTCAGCATGTCAGCACCCGGTCCATCAAAAAGCAGAGGTCACTTCTGTCCCTTTCCAGATGCCCCAGCTTTTGTGGCTTGCTTCTGATGACTAGAATGTGGCAGCAGTGAAGCTACGTGGCTTCCAGGCCAGTTAGAAAAGGCGGCACAGCCTCCCTCTGCTCTGCCGGCATGCTGAGCTTGGCACCCAACAGCCATCCTGTGAGGAAGCCCAGCAGCCTCACGGGAGATCCCGGGGTAGAGTCCAGTCACAGCTCCTTCCAATCAGCTGCCAGACAGGGAGTGTGTGAAGCTCCCCATGTCTCAGCTCAGGCTCCCACCTAACCCTGGGCAGAGCAGAATCTGACTGAAGCTGTGCAGTTTGAGGGTTCTTGGAATACAGCACTAGATAACGGTGACAAGATGGAAGAGACCTCAGAGATCACGGACACTGAACTCATCTATTTCACAGATGGAAAATGTACAGAAGACAAGAGACTCGGCTCAGGGGGGCCAGGACGCAAGCCCAGGTCTCTTCGCAACAAGTGTAGTGCTCCTGACTGAGCACTAGAAGCTGACATAACTCTTTCCCTAATCCCTCATTCTAAATGGGATCAGGTGCTTGGAAAGGGGGATCCACAAGGCAGTGAGGGTGGGGCACCCGGGATGGGCCGGTGTCCTTGTAAGAAGGACAGACGGGAGCTCCTGCTCTCTCTCGTACCGAGGTCTGCAGCCAGGGAAAGGGCTTCTCCAAGCCCCCTCACTGTGGCCCTGACCTCAGCTTCCAGCCTCCAGAAAGGGACGCTGAGTGGCACCCCACCAACGATGACTTGTCAGAGCGGCCGAGCCTGGTGGGGGCCCTCAGCCTGAGTCATGGGGGCAGAGGACAATCAGGTCACCCTCCAGAGACCCACTTTCCCAACTGCAAGAGTGGAGGCCGTGGTGAGGACCAGCAAGACTGCACCTGTCACAGTGCGTGGGAAGCAGGCTTCTCTGCGTGTGTTTAAATGAACCATCGTTTTCTAGTGTGGTGAAATATATGTAACACACAATTCAGCGTTTCCGCTATCAGCAAGTGCATCACCCAGTAGCTTTAGATGAACACACACTGTCATACTGTCGACAACCCTTCTGTCTCCAGAACTGTTCATCCTCCCGAACTGAGACTCCATCCCATTCCACAGTGACCCCACTCCCGCCACTTCCATGTCTACAAGTCCCCCAAAGCCTCGGGCAGTCATGGTGGGGCTTTCAGAGGCGGCTGGGTCTGCAGTGTGATGCTGGGATCAAGGCTGTGTGCTTACTGACTCAGCCCACTGACTGGCTGGCACAGCGCTGGGTGTGGACAACAGGAAGTCACCTAGAGGAAGGATGAAAGGGACAGGCAGTGGCAGCTGCTTCACCGCCCTGCGGCCTGCCCTGCCGTGGGCTGTTCCCCCTCTGCAGCGTCCCTCTGCCAGGCCACCCTGCCTCGGAGCCGGTCGACTCTGCACGGAAACCTCTGCACACTGTGAGCTGCACTAGTCCGGCCCTCTTTAACTTTCAGGATAATCAGCAGTGTGCCTCAGCAACAAGAAAACGAAGCCCGAGACGCTCCCCAATCCCAGCCACAGTCTCTGGCACGCTACTCTCCGTCTCCACAAATCTGGCCGCTGTGTGTCGCTCCCGTGAGAGGGATCACACACTCTCTGCCCACCCAGCTTCATTTAGTGTAATGTCCTCCCGATGCGTCCACGCTGAGGCCTGAAGAACCATCTCTCTTCTGAAGAGTAAATAATACTCCACTCACTGTGCCTTTCTGCTACACTGCACGCACCCATCCATCTCTAGGACAGTATCATCAAACCATGAGCCCAGGTGAACGTGAGGGCCCCTCCTCCTCCTCATAATCACCCCCAAAGAGTCGGGGCACCGTGCAGAGCTCGGCACACTCTTGGTTTCTCACGGTCACCCAGGAATGGAATGCAGGGGGGCACCAGAGACCGCGCCGGCCTGGCCATCTGCAGCAAGCGGCCTTTTGTGCTTTATTTGTTTCTTTTCTTCTCACTGCCAGGGACCCACAGTTTTGTAAAATACATTAAAATGACAACATGGTAGAATAAAATTTAAAAGACAAAAAAATGAAAGCATTTGGCCATTAAAAAAAGTTAGACTCAGCAGACACAAAATTACTGGGAAAACTGCTAAAATGCTTCCAAGTGTTCCCGGTTTCTGCTCTGCCCTGTTACAGACCCACAGCTCGGGGCTGGCACAGCGACCCGACCCGCAGCTGTGTTCTGAGCCACGAGAAGCGCAGCCACTAAGTGACCACAGCGAGGCCCCCCAGCATACTCTGCTGCCCATGGCAGGGTCTGGCTGTAAGAATCAACGAAGCCAAGGAGTCAGCAGCTCTGCTCCTCAGTGCCGCCCCAAGGCAGTGGAACAGCATGTTCCCATAAAACCGGCCGGGAACGTTCGTGGCAGTAAATGGGATGTCAGGGTGTGCACAGCCGGAGAAGCGACTACCAGACCGCGGCGCTCCACAGGAGACCAGGAGGAAGGGCTGACGCACGCGGCCACGTGGATGAACCTGGACCAGGTAACACTATGGAAAAGAAGCCGGTATGAAGCTCAGACTCCGCACAACTGTGGCTGCGTGAAAGGTTCGGCATGCACAGAAGCAGGAAGGGCTGAGCAACGGTGTCTGAGGCCAGAAGACGCCAGGACGATGGGTAACGGGAGACAGTCTCTCTGTGGGGTGGTGGGACACTCCAAAGCCCTGAGGGGTATGGAAAATCCTGGGCCCTGTGTGGCTTGGAGGTGGAGCATATGTGCAGCCGGTTCCATCCCCTCAGCCCACTGCTTGGATTATTTAATGTTATGCTTTGTTGTTTGTTTTTGTCTTTTTGAGATTATTTTGTAGCCCAGGTTGATCTCAAATTTGTAACAATCGCCCTGCCTCAGCCTCCCAAGTGCTGGGATTACAGCCATGTGCCACCATACCTGGCTAATTTTAAATAGACGAACCGTAAGGCACATTAACTGTATCTCAATAAAGCTGCTATGAAAAATGAAGCAGTGGCCAGGGATGTAGCTCAGTGGCACAAGCACCTGCCTGGCAGGCACAAGGTCATGAGTTCAATCCCTGGTACCAAAAAGTAAAAAAATAAATAAATAATGAAGCCACATTCTGAGGCTGTTAAAATGACTGAATTACTTATGTAAAGCCTAAAGAAAATTCTAGACCTGGGTGAATTCTTTCAGGTACGAAAAAAGCAACACTCGAGTTTAACACAACGGTCTCCAAAACACAGAAACTAATTCCCAGCTTGTTTCATGATTACAACCTTGACCCCAAGACCTGGCACCAGAAGAAAGGGCATCAGACCACCTCCCCACAGAGACAGTTCAGTCTCCCAACAAAATCTTAGCAAACGGGACACAGCGACAACACACGGCGCAGCAGGCCAGGGCTGTCCCAGGAACGCAAGGTGCAAGGTGCTGCCCGCCAGCTGGGCCGGAGGAGGAAAGCATGTGCCATCTGGGAGGCACGGGTTGTAACTTTAGGGGCTGCTCACTGTTTACCCCAAGCTCAGCTACGAAACCAGGACACCTGCGCTCGCCAGTGAGCTGAGCCCTCTCCAAGGTCCCTGCCAGAACCCGGAGCCAAGGAAAGAAACAAGGCTTAGGAGGCTGGCACGGGACAAGGGGAGCTCTATTTATAGACCTGGGCCAGAAAATACATGGAAAATCTAGAGGCCATTAAGCCCTGAGGATTAATAGTGAGCGCAGCAAGGTCTCAGGATGCAAGAAGAATAAGCAAAGTCCCCCACAGCTCAGAAGGCGAATTTTACACAGAAATAAAGCGTTACTTAAAATAGCACCAAGGGTAAATGCCTAACCGTAAATCCCATGGGACACACGAGCCCCACCCCCACCCCACACAGAGTGCTACAAGGCAACCTCAGAGAAAGACTCGGGCCCCAGAGTGGCAGACCCTGCCCGGGTATCCACGCCCGGCTCTGTCCACTGTCGCTCCTTCTCGGCATGTATTCACGTTCAGAGAATCTCAGCAGGCTTCTTTAAGTTTTGTTTTATTGTTATTGTTATTTTTTAGAAACTGGTAAAGTGATCCTAAAACATATACAGAGGGCAGGCATTATGACGCATACCTGTAATCCTAGCTATTCCGGAGGCTGAGGCAGGAAGATTGCAGGTTCAAGGCCAGCTTGGGCAGCTCAGTGAGCCCCTGTCTCAAAAACAAAACAAAACAAAAAAAGGCTGAGGCTGTGGAGCGCTTCCCTAGCATGTGCCAGGCTCTGGCTCTAACTCCAAACACCAGTGTTTAAATAAAAATTCAGAAATGCAATGCAAATGGCCAAGGACAGCCAAAGGAATCTTTAAGAGCAAAACACAATTGGATCTCCACATTTACTATGAGTTTTTCTTAATTGAAATAAGGTGGCGTTGGCACATGGATGGAAAAGGAAGTCCAGAAAAAGATCTGAAATGACTAAAAGAAACAAGAAAAAAGAAAAAGTCAAGTTCTGGGAGGCTGCGAGAGACAGGAACCTGGACGCTTGGTGAGACCGCCACCCGCCTAAGGAAACCATTTGGTGCCGTTTACTAAACTTTTAACGTGTCTCAAGCCCAGAAATTCCATTGTGAGGCATAAACATGACAAAAGTAAACATATATCTTCCCGGCAAGACACACACAAGACTGCCCACAGTATCACCCCTAGTAGCCAGAAACGGACACTACCCAAACATCAGGCAACAGCACACCAAAAACGGTAAATAAACACATCAGTGAGCCACCCACAACTCCACACAGCAGCATGGACGGATCGGACCAACAGAGCGGGACCACGGATGCAGGGGACTCCGTGGCAGGCGCTCCCAAGCCTACGGAGCCGGAAGCAGGCCACGCTGTGACGGATGGGAGCCCCGCTGTCCTGGGGCACGGGGGAGGCAGTCATGTGCAACTTCCAGAAGTGGACAGGTGTGTCCTGTTGTTATAATAAGCGGTGTTGCCTGTGGCAGGTTCCGTTTGGACACAGTGTTTGCAAGAGGAGGCAGGGAGAGAGGCACAGAGGTCTCCTGGTGTGCAAGCTGGTGGCAGAGCCAGCAGATCAGGAAGCCAGCCTCTCCCCGCTTCCCTGGCTGGCCAGCTGGCCACTCTGGCCCCCGACCCGGAGGCAGAAGGAGCTGGAAACAAACCGGAGGCTTTGCAGTGGAAAGGTTAAAACTGCGGGTACGGAGGAGAATGTGGAAAATGTCCAGGGAGAAGGAAAACCAACAAGGGCCAGCACAGTGGGGGCCACAGGCCATGGCTTGTGACGGGGACTGGGCATCGGAGGGCTGGGGACTGACTGTGACAGCGTTGAAAGGCACCTCAGGGCCATGGGTAGAACTCAGTGGCGTAAGTGCCTTCCAGCAAGGGAAGGATCCTGAGCTCGAAACCTGGCACCAAATAAAAAACCACATCAGACTGGATTATCTTACTTCTGTATCGCATAAAGTGTGCGCATGTTTAAGCACAGAAAAAGCCTGACACCAGGCGAACTGACAACGCGTTTACACTCCAGGGCGCAGGACTGGATACAGCAAGAGGAAGGCTTTTTTTTTAAATTAAAATTGTGGTTTTTGTCTTGTTTTGTTTTGTGTTTGTTTTTGTTTTTGAGACAGGTTGTCTTGCTCTGTAGTCCAGGCTGGCCTTGAACTCATGGTAATCCTCCTGCCTCAGCCTCCTGACTGCTGAAACGCAGAACTGGGATCCTTTTATGAAGTGCGCCAAGGACATTTTAGTGCCTCTCTCCCTGCCTCATGTTAAGAATACTTTGTATCAAAACAGAACTTGCCACAGGCAATGACACATAGTAAATTTGCAGCTTTTAAGAAGTACACTTTGTGTTATTTCATTTTATTGCATTTTTTGGAGACAGTCTTTTTTGTTACCCGTTTGTCTCTAACTCCTTGGCTCAAGTGATCTCTTGCCTCGGCCTTCAGAGTAGCGAAGTGCAGGCGTGGCACCACTCCTAACAATGTACATGCACATGTGTACTCCAGTGACAGGACAGTGCTACGGAGATGGGAAAGGGACTCTGGGGTCGCTGGGGGACTCCTGAGTAGAAACGGGCTGTGCTGGTTGGCAGTGAAGCCACTGGACAGTCCTGAGCAGCCTGGAGTGCAGCGGAGTCCCAGGGCAAGGTCGGCCAGGAGGAAGGAGCCAGCGCTCCCCAGCCGAGGTCCCAGCCACGTGCAGCGGGTGGATCCGTGGCCTGCACCACACCCACCCCGTAGTGCCACCACCTGCTCCCCGAGATCTGCTGCATATTGGGTGATTCCAAAGCTCTGCTCCCATGAAGCCCAAGGCCAGAGCACCCTGTGGGTGCTGCCGGGAAGGCCCTGGGCTCCCTGGGTCCTTGAGATGAGGCCCCTCGCCCCTCAGAGACTGCCAGGCTAACACCTTCACCTCCCTGATAATCACAGAGTCTCTGGGGTTCTGGTACATGAACGGTACACAAACACTCAGACCAGAGGGCAACAGCACCCCCCTCACGGCACCCCCATCCCAGTCTTCATCCCACATTCCCTCCCGTCCCCCAACAGCATCCCGATGGTCCTGAGGAGGGAGGGACCCCAGCGCAGCTCTCAGGGAGCTCAGAATCCAGGGAGCAGGATGTATACTTTGGGGTACAGCCAGAAGTCAGAGCTGGAAAACTTTGCACTCTTAGAAATGATCCGAATTCTGCCGTGGAGGTAGGGACAGCGGCCACCATTCCCAGGCAGTGCCACCTCCCTCGGGAGGGGGTTTCTGCCCTCCCCAGTTCTCCCCCTGGTCCCTTCCCACCCACAAAGACCACATGGGCCACAGCCAGACACCACCTCCCACAGCCCACAGGGCACCCTGCACGCACAGGCAAGGCCGTCTCAGCCCTGCCACGGAGGCTGCTGCAGAGATGCAGGCTCGGGTCCAGGCTATGCTTGACTCTCATGCCCAGTGACACAACCCTGAAGTCACAGGGTGCAGCTACACCCAGTGCTCTGCTCTGCGAGGCTGCCCCTCTGTGCCTAGGACAGCGCGGTCGGCTGCGGGTGATCAGCTTGCTGATGATCCCTGGGACCCTGGCCCTCCCCAGGCTCCCTTCTTCCCTGCGCCCTGGGTGACACCAGAGGCCCTGCACAGCTGACAGCTGCCCTGGAGCTGCCCCTGCAGGCCCCCTGGACAGCTGCTCAGTCCCGTGGGATGCTGCATAAGAGCCCCTAGGGCCCAAGCAGGAGCGGCTGCACGGTGGGGAGCCTGGTAAAGCTGAGGGGTGAAGGCACCATATGGCAAAGGCTTCTGTTTTTTTCCCTTTTTCCCTTCCCCTTCCCCTTCTCTTTCCCTTCCTCTTCCCTTCCTTTCCTTTCCCTCCCTTTTCTTTTGTGATGTCCAGCAATGAACCCAGGGCTTCCACCCCCAGCTGCACCACGGGCCCATTTTGTTGTTTTTCGTTTGTTGTTTTTGGAGACAGGGTCACACTGGGCTTGAACTCAGGATCCTCCTGCTTCAGCCACGCCTCCCAGAATGCTGGGGTGACAAGGGTGCCCCACCACGCCCAGCTGGGGTAACCGTCTCTGCCCGTACTGCCTGTTTCTGTTGGGCTGACGACGGAAGGCAGGCTGAGGGTGAGGGCTTCGTGCAGAAGCCACCTCTGCCCCTACCAGGGGCTGAAGGGCAGAGAGCAGCGGCGGTGGAGAGGCAGGCGCAGAGGTGGCCTTCGGGCCCTGACAGGCGTCTGTCTGGGACGACCAGGTCCTCACAGTGCCCACACGTGATGGTGCAGGTGGCCTGGGGCTGGCGCAGTGGGAGCTGCACGGGCCATGCGTGTGGCGCCGCATGCAGGGGCGGGGCTGCCAGCTGTCTCCCTGCAGGAACATATTTCTCTGGCACCGATCTGACTCCTCTGGAAAGGGACTTTGGCCGAACCACAGCAGATGCGAGTGATTTTCCATCCTCAGCCCAGGGGCAAAGGCAGAACTCAGCAGAGCCTGCTGCGGCCCAGGGGCACCCGAGACCAGCAAGGAGGAACGGGTCAGGGCTGGAGCCCTAGGAAGGACACAGGGGTGGTGGGGTGTGATGGGCAGGCCCTCATGATGCTGTGAGCAGCGCCGGACACAGCACAACGCAGGACGGGCACTGACAGCCGCGTGGGCTGACTTAGAGTTTACTGCCCTTCTGGGAACGGTCCTCTGTCAGACCTGTCACCATTGCTTCGAGTCACATTTATAAAAGGAGCCCAAATTCACGCGCTGCTGTCCCCTCTCCAACACCCAGGGGGCCAGGACTGCACTGAGGACCTAGTCACTGTTTTCAGCTTTTCCTTCCAAGCCAGGGACTGGCTCAGTGGCTACACTGCCAGGCTGGGCTCAGACTCGAGATCTACCTGCCTCAGCCTCCGTATGCTCCTTAGGAAGTGCAGGGCTTGCCCTCCCTCCCGCCATGCCCTGTCCCCAAGGACTCCCTGGGCCATGGAGGGTGACAGGTGAGGCAGCGACACGGCTGAGGGCCCACAGCGTGGTGGGGTCACAACGCCGGGGCCACCCATTGTGCCGAAAATGAGGGATGTTCCTCAGACAGGCCTCGAAAAACCAGCACCTTCTTTAAGATGCTGGTTTTAACTGCAGTGACAACTGACATAGTCAGAGTACAGCGCCGTGTTTCACTCAGTGTGCTGAGCAGCAATCGAGTGGAAGCATTCAGCGGATCCATCAGGTCACATGTTTATCACATCTCTGTGGTGGGAACATCACCTCTCCTGGCCTCTGTGGAATATTCAGTAGGTCCTGCTACTGTGGTCCCTCGGTTGCAACACAGAACCCCCAAAACTTGTTCTGCCTGTGTGACCCTGGCTTGGCATCTGCTGGCCCAGCTCCCTCCCCTGCCCCTTCCGGCCCGGCCTCTGGTAACCATTAGGCTCCTGATTCCATGAGCTCAGCTTCCTCAGACTTCACCCAAGAGTGAGTCATGCGGATTCCTCTGTCCTCACTCACTCCACTTAATGTCGTCCAGTTCCAGCCGCGTGGCCGCACATGCCCAGGCCCTGTCCTGGGGAGCCGGGAAGTAGCCTTCATCCACTTGTCCACCTGTGGACACACAGGTTGACCCCAGCCTGGCTGCTGTGAACCGGGTGTGACAACGGGGAGAAGCAGCACACAGGTTCTGGGCAGAAGGCGCAGCGGGGAAACTGAGTCACTCCTAAAGGGATGTGAAGGTGATGTGATCTGAGAGAGAAAACAGTTCAGGGTGGGAGCCAGGAATCAGCTTGAGAAATGCAAAGCCAGGGACCAGCTGCCCGGCCTGCAAGGCTGTGGAGACCCACGGAGGGGGCCCCCCCAAGGCCACACGGCCCCACAGCCCAAAGAAGACCCGCAGGGCCAAGGTGGACGAGGGTGTGAAGGAGGCGCAGGGGGAGGACAGAAGGACTGACTGCTGGAGAGAAAGAAGGGGGAGAAAGGAAAGCCAGGCAGAGACGGAGAGGTGCTGGGGTGGGAGGGAAGTGTGCAGGTCAGCACGGGGCTCCGCCAGGCACCCAGATGTCACCCTGGGTCTGCACCGCGTGCGGGGCCAGACAGAACTGTTTAACTGGCCACCTCTGAGCAAAGAGAAATGTGGGGGACACCAACCATGGGAGCCTCTGCAGAACAAACGGCGCCCCCAGGAAGACAGGCTCAGGCCTCAGACGGCACAAGGCTGCTCCGCGGTCTCCAGCCTTCAGGGCCGGAGCGACAGCCCCAGCAGAACCACCCAGCTGCAGACTTGAGACTTGCCAGCCTCCGTAATTAGGTGAGGGGGTTCAGAAAAGCATGTACCTCATATTCCTGAGCGCAAGTGACCCTCCAGCCTCAGCCTCCCGAGCTGCTGAGACTACAGAAGAGTGCCAGCTCGCTGGCTTGCCCCCCTCCCCGACCCCACGGGTGCATTTCCCGTTGTACTTTGCTCACCGATGCTACACGTGCACTAGAAACCATACCTCCAATTTTGAGTTTTGATTTTTTCCTCAGGCACTGCAGTACTTTTCACCCTCTCAAACTGTGACCCCAAAATGTCTCCAGACATTGTGAGCTGATGTCCAGGGGCGAAGGCCTGCAGGCCGAGCAGCAGTCACTGCTCCATGGTGCTGGCCTCAGGCCACTCAGGCAAAGTCCAGGTGGACTGGGAATTTCAGAGTGACTGTTTTCTCATGATCTGTGGGCAGCTCCAAGGTCCGCCTGGGTCCTCTACGTCCCTGTGGGATATTCTCGGGCTAGGACCCGGAGTGAGGAGCAGGTGTCACTCAGGAGGAAAGCAGTGCCACCGCAGACCTCTCCAGACAGAGCTGCCCAGGGAGGACGCGCCCTGTCGGCCGGCCCGATGCAGGCTGAGCCAGGGCAATGTGCTTCCGGGGCTGCACTTCCGGTGACATTTTACCCTTCATGGCACCACCATGAGCTCCCCAAACTGACAAGAGAACCACCTGACTCCAGAACCATCCGGAAAATTCCAAGGGGGGAACTTCCATTACAGTAGGAGAAAAAAAATACCAGAATGGAGCTAACAACGTGTGTCTGCCCTTGGTCCAAACTTCTGTGTGCTTTCCAGTTAAACACATGTGGACTTAAAACAATGGTTCTTTTCTTTTAAATTCTACGGTTTCTATGGAATTTTTAAAAAACATAATGGGCTCCCTCTGGTGGCCACAGAGATCTCTAAAGCCCAAAGGTCAGAGCACAGTTAAATTTCAAGATCTTCACTATGGGTCACAATCCATTCGATAATTAATAGATTTGGAGTGGCTAGACTGTGCCTGAGAAGGAGACTTCTAATTATTTTTTTTCCATTCATCAGTGGGTTCACAAATTGGTTCACACAGCCACTACCC